CTCTATTTTACAATTTTGAAAATATCGGGCCCTACAGCAGAATACGTGGGCGTCCTCCAAGGAACTGAGGAAAATGAGACTTGCTCACGCACATTGCATTCTGTCCCACAGTGCCTGAGGCTTATGTTTAGGTTAGTCCCGTGTGCAACGAGGAGTAGATGTCTGATGCGGTTCAATATGCCCCTTCTCTTACGATAGCGCCAAAAATCGTAATACTGTCACTTGCTACTGCTGTCGGCCCTGTGTACATAACACAATCAAGATATATGTATGAGTTGATTTCACGTAGTTCTTCGTGACAAGCTCACGTCAGTTACGTCAGCGCATTTCACTTGGTGACAAGGGAAGCCAGCTGTTGACCAGGTGATCGTCAAGCGACACGACAAGCAACTCGTCGCCCAGATGCGCGGACCGCGATCGAAATCTCAGCACATAGTCTGGCGTTAAACACTGTGGTTACGACGGTTTACAAAAGTTGGTCGCTATTCAATATGTTGACCGGCTCACTGTAGTAGTATTGAAGTAAAATCGCGCCAGGCTATCTGCAGATACTCACCCACGCCCGAGTCGTTGCTCAAGGAGAATCGACTGCATGGCGCATTTTGAAACGTTCCGTCTTCCATATCGAAAATCGATATCGATGCTCATGCTTTATCAACTTCATCTAACGGTACAAAATCAGTCGGAACCAAGGCAGGAGCGGTTGCTACGCGAATGCACGATGGATTGTTGCTAATGTAATCTCGTGCAGCCCAGTCAAGCCTTCCATACCTCTCGCTGGTCTGTTGGTACCGGGCTTTTGTTCATGGGCTGGCCCGCCTGGGTTCTGTTCGGATTAAACAGGCACCCAAGAGCTGCTGCGGTTTTAACTGGAAGTAGAATGCGTGGCGCACTTTGAAGAGGGACAAATGCAAGGCAACGAATGTTCCTTACTTTCGTAGCTTTATGACTTCTGCTGGGAGGGAAAAGCACTGGTCCGTACATTGGCTAAGATTATTGTGCGGGCCAAATCGCATCCAGAATATCAATTGATTCGGAGTGGAAGTAGGATGCATGGCGCATCCCAGAAAAGGATCAATCGAAGCTGCTGCTTTATTGGTTATCCTTTTATGACTCATCAATGAATATACAGCATACATATGCTACGAACTGAATCGTAGGCTGTATGCAAGCAAAGGGGGGGGGGGGCGAGGCTCTTCAGAATGAATTGTTGAACTTGAATACATCGCTTGTCTAAAAATAAGCTGCGAATTTAGGCTTCAGGGAGTTTGATCATGAGATTTACAATTGACAATAACGGGTGTTCATGAACATATTTTGACCACATGATTTTTCACCGGTTGGTTTTCGCAGTTGGTGCTCTGAATATGCTCTTAGATAGTCTGCAATCCTTCGAATTGTGCGCGAGCTGCCAAGCTCATGCACTGTGTTTTTGTTTGACAGCTGCTTTTCCGGCTATCCTTCTTATGATTTCCGTCAGCACCAGCTGTTGAATTATTCAGCTGTCTTCACGTGCTAAGAGAAAAAATTGTTGGGCATCCCACCGTATGTGGTCTTTAGGTCATTGATTTAGCAAAGAATTGAAGGGGTTCTACCATGGTGTCGTTAGTTTCATTTCGAGGTTCTGCATGATCCGAAACTCGGTTCTGGTGAAGGCGTCTTTTATTAACTATCTGTTTACGTAACTTCAACAAGGGTGTTCACGTATCACAGACGGAACTAACTGGAAGAAGGTTGAGGAGGTAGGAGTGATGGTTGCCGAAAGGATCAGTCATTGAGTACGTGGGGGTGCTCAATGGTACGCCAGTGATTGAAAGAGCAGAAAAAGCTCTTCAACAAGCGCGAAAAGAGGGCATCTTGTTAGCCGTTGATCTTCGCTCAAGGCAGGCAGCCGCTATCCTTCTTATGACTAGCGGCACATTTAGCTTCCAAAATATCCCTCCAGTGAAGGTCCATCCTTAAGTCACTAGATACGGCTCTTCACGCCCTTTCGGTGGAGTGGACCAGATATACCATATAGGACGCAGCTCTTAGTATCACTTAGCAAAACGTGTACTAGGGGGCACTTCTACCAAACACGGGTTTGAGTTTGTTTTCCCCACTCTCGGAATGAGATTTACAATTCTTCCAGTCCATGGGCGTGATGTAATTTCAGTCCTTTCTGTCAACCTAAAACTATATAAAAACTTGCGTTGGAGTAAGGGGCTTAATTGCGGATCTATTCCTTATCATACTGGGGACAGCTACCAGAAATAACGTAAGGTGTGCCGAAACCCTTCCCCGTACAATTGTGTAGTCCTCGCATGTCGATTTGTTGCGATCGTTACGTTTCGGGATGATCTCTATATTTGCTATCGACGGAAGCAAAGCCAGACTCTAAATGGTTCATGGGTTACTATCTTGTGATCCTCTTTTGGGCCATGCCTCTTCATCGCAGAGCATTTGCATCTGCTCTTCGTTCAGTAATCCAATCATTTTCATCTGGTTATGGATGTAGCTTTCATAATTCACCAGAAAGCAGATTTGGAGAGCTATAGGAGCCAAATTGACTAAACAGGTATATGGGTAGCTTGCGTCAATCTTGAGGTTGGATCAGTTTGTGGCTGGTGAAGGAGGACAATGGATGGAGCGTTAACTGCGAAAAATAGCGTCGCTCTGGTGAATAGCGCAGTCGTAACACGCCTGATTGTACAAGCGGACCTTGTACAACAGGATTGCTCGTGGAGAAATCTTGATTGTTATGCAGATGCGGTAGGTCGCTCATCCGTGAGTTTTTGGCGTATCTGTCAAGCACCTTGGTGTGGGACCTTATGGTTCATTGCTTGTATGGGTGATGTATACTGTTGATGGTAACCTTAACACTTGGGGCGAGCCTTTTGAAGTCAAGCACTAGGTACTCGATCGGCTATCATAGGCTGTCAACGTGGGCATAAAAAGTCCAGAAACAAACCGGTGGTACAATAAATCACTTACCCCACCGCTAGCTCAGGAGGTGTTCCACAAACCTCTGACGGCTAAGGCGTTTAGGGGTAGGAATCGACTCCAATAAAAACTGGTTCACTTCGTGGTGCTCATAGGCAGTGTAGGTCGATGGTCATGAAGGAAACAGATCCCCTCGAAGGAAGGGACGAGTCCAGGCTAAAAATATGACTCCGTTTTCTTTTGGCAGTTGAATCATGTAACGAAAAAGGACAAGGCATTTGTGTAGAACTTTTTTGGGATGCTTTTTGCGTTCCACTATCACTCAGAATCGCTGTGTCCTTTTCAAAGGCGATGTCCGAATTCATGATAGAAGTTATGCCTGACCCCACGAATAACGCAGTTGTACACAAACGGGAGCCTGTACATAAATGTCAGGATGATTTGACAAGGTCAAAGCGCTAAGACCCTAGGATGCAGCATAGGCCGCGCTCAACACCTTGGATTCTGGTTGCCATTCAGAGGAGGAATTCACGATAAGAACGAAGGTCAAAGAAAGGGAAATGCATAGTTGGGGGACAGGCGGACCTCCTGAGGGTGCTGACTGACGCGCAATTGGCAGCGAAAGATTTGACCTCGGCGATCTAGCATGGCTCACTCTTGGCGCGGTT